GGGGCTTCTCATGTAAAATTTTAAAAAAATCGATTTTTTTTTATGGATCGATAGAATAACGTCTTGGGAGTATATTCCCGAAGTTTTATGACTCAACTCTCAATATTGTGGAAAATATAAGTGATTGAACGAGCGCGCTCGGGCGCGCTTTGTGTGCTAACTCAAAACTTTAAATCGTTTTTTCTCAAAACTATGATTATAAAAAGGCGGTACACGATTACGAAAAAACTACTGAACCGATTTTTGATTTCTAAAAAGTGTTTTGCAGATTATACATTGAACGAGTGCATGAATATCTGAAATTGTGAAAAAAAGTTATTTTATACACTTTTCAGCCCAATTCAGCAAAAAAAAAAACAAAACAAGAAAGGAAGCTAGCTTCGGCAAGCCGAAGCTTATATACCCTTGCAGTCGTCAAATATGTCGAAAAAAATACATAAAGGCTAAACAACATCGAAGCTAAGACGATTTTTCTTTTCATTTTCCATATTTTCGACTATAGATCATATGGGAGCTACATATATGATATAGTTGTCCGATTTTCATCAAATTTAATTCGTAATTCAAGAGTCGTTAGAAAACTTTAAATTTCAAAAATCATGCTTATCAAATAAAAACCAACGATGTTATAATTTTATTTCCGTTATTTCTATATAGATTTTTCGATCTTTCCTATGGCAGCTATAAGATATAGTTGTCCGATTTTTATGAAACTTTTTTCTCAATATAAGGGTTGTTAAAAAACTTGATGTTCAAAAAATCATGCCCGTGGGATAGAAAACAACGATGCTATCAATTTATTTCTATTAATTCTATATATATTTTTCCATCTCTCCTATGGCAGCTATATGATAGAGTTATCCGATTTTGTTCAAATTTAATCCGAAATTCAATAACAGTTAGAAAACGCCATCTTGAAGAATTCAAGTCGATCTGATCAAAAACAACAGAGTGAGAATTTTTTATTTCATTCTCTTGTATTGGAGCTATCCGATATAGTCGGCCGATCCGGCTCGTTCCGACTTATATACTGCGTGCAACAACTACACAACTTTTGGGAAAGTTTCAGCACGATAGCTTTAAAACTGAGAGACTAGTTTGCGCGGAAACGGACAGACGGACAGATGGACAGACGGACAGACGTACAGACGGATTTCGATTCTGCTCGTGATGCTGATCAAGAATATATATACTTTATGGGGTCTGAGGTGTCTCCTTCACTGCGTTGCAAACTTCTGACTGAAATTATAATACCCTTTTGCTCTGCAAGGGTATAAAAATGGCACTTTTTTTCAAGACGTGATTTTAATACTTTAAAATCGAATTTTTTGAAGTTGCAGACATTTTTGCACTCGGGGGAACCTTGCTGAATAATAAAAAATTTTTTTTGTATGTTTAAGATGAAAACTTTGGGCTCCACACTGTACCGCAATAAGTCCCTCAGCCGCGTCGAGCCACACGCGACCTTGAATAAGTCCGCCATTTTGTTCTTTAGAATTTTCAAAAAATGTTTTTCTCATACTTTAAACATGTGTTCAAATATATGCAAAAAATTATTCGTGTAAGTTTTTATTTTCCAAGTGAAAAAAATTCCCAAAAAACAACTACTTTTTGACATGTTACAAGAGAAGCCCCCCTTAAGTAAATCCAGTCAAAACTCTGATATAGGTCGGCCAAAATAAAGTCTAGCAGAGTGCTCAAAAATAACAAAGCGAAGACAGATAGCAGACTAATAGCAATATAACAATAATATAAAAATAATAACTTAGATGACATTTGCTTCTTTGTCACATCAATGTTCCTCTTTAACTGATAATCAATTCTAATAATGATAAGCGACTGAAAATTACTTGGAAAAACTAACGACCATCGTCTACCCGCTATTGCAGCTCGATTCAAATTCAATTTTAAAAATAATTATTTAATTCAATTAAAAACAAGAAAGGAAACTGGTTTCGACAAGCCGAAGCTTATATACCCTTATAGTCAGGCTTGTATCCAGGGAGGGGGCCCGGGGGTTTTCAGTATACAAATGAAGTATTGAGTTCACTCCGACAAATGCGGGAAACAGCTAACGACACTTTCAGAGAAATTTTTCAAGTAGCGTCAAAATTTTTTGCAGATTTTTTCGACACTGAAATTCAAGCTCCCAGAGTTACGTCACGACAAAAATCTCGTGCGAATCCGCAAACGACATCGAATGAAGAGTATTTCAGAGTCACCATTCCTTCCTTGCATCGATACTTTGATACAAAATTTGACGGACAGATTCATCAAGAACGAAGATATTTTATCCAGTTTCCAACTGCTACTGCCAGGATATGCTTGCGAGAAAAAAATTGATGAACTGGAAGAATTAGGTCCATACTTTCAAGACGAAATGCCATTGTCCGCAGTTCAAGCTGAGTACAAGTTATGGTGTGCCAAAATTTCATCAATTGACCCATCAACCGAAATTTTGAGACTGTTGGAGTGTTGTGATGGAACATTTTTTCGCGGGATAAATTTTCTTCTCAAGGTCATGGCTACTCTTCCAGTCACAACGGCTAGCGTCGAAAGAACGTTTTCAACAATGAAGAGGATAAAAACTCTACCTCGTAGTGTGATGGGCCACGACAGACTAAGTGCACTCGCGATGATGTCAATTCACTGGGATACTGTTGTTGATCCGGAGGAAGTTCTCGACCGTTTGGCGAAGAAAAAATCAAGGAAGTTACTCATTTAAGGTGTATGTTCTGAAGGAAAATACATACTGTATTCACATTTTGCTATTTGCGGTATTTTATGTGAAACATAAATAATGTTTCAATTTTTTTTACATTATAGTAACTGTTAATTGTAACCTTATACTTTGTACTGTACCTTTTTCTTGCACAATGAATAATAAAAGATCAAACGTCACGTACTGATTAAAGATCGATGTGCCTTTTTCTGAATTTATTCGAATAAGTCCACATTTTTTATTGATTTTTGTCCTTGAGGATAAAGAACAACGATGTTATCAATTTATTTCCATTAATTCTATATAAATTTTTCGATCTCTCCTATGGCAGCTATATGATAGAGTTATCCGATTTTGATAAAATTTAATCTGAAATTCAATAGTAGTTAGAAAATGGCATCTTAAAGAAATCAAGTCGATCTGATCATTTTTTATTTCGTTCTCTCGTATTGGAGCTATCCGATATCGTCGGCCGATCCGGCTCGTTCCGACTTATATACTGCGTGCAATAATTACACACCTTTTGGTTAAGTTTGAGAAAGATAGCTTTAAAACTGAGAGACTAGTTTGAAGAAAAACGGACAGACAGACAGACAGACGTACATACATATTTGGATTTTGATCGTTATGCTGATCAATAATATATATACTTTATGGGGTCTGAGGTGTCTCCTTCACTGCGTTGCAAACTTCTGACTTAAATTAAAATACCCTTTGCAAGGGTATAAAAAGAAGTTAGAACAATACGAATTTGGATTATCTTCATAACATGTACATATATATATTCTTGACTTTATTTTATTTTAGTAACATAATACATTAGACAATAAAGAACGATATCAAAAAAAAGAATCATAATATTAATAACGAATTTAGTGAAAAAATGGGTCTAATTGTCCAAGAGGTATAGTATGCAGATTGAAAATTTCAAATTGATTTGATTGCCATAAGCATATGTACAGCAGATGCATTGCGGATAACTACCGAAAAACTTAGTCCCACTGAAAAGATTAAACTTTTCAACGCTGCAAAACACATTTTCAATAATTAAATTCATTTGCAGAAACTTAATTTGCAGAAACAAGCGGAAAAGATAAACATTTAGATCCAAAGTGTGCAACTCTACTGCAAGTCTTATCATCTGGTTAAATTAATAAAACAAATTGAAAATAGATCCCTAGATACTGCAAACGAACCAACATCGAAGTATTTCTGGTATTATTTGCCTTTTTCGTTTTTTTGGCTACTATTTATTAAGACCGACTTATTTTTAAGTTAAGTATGCTAATACATATGAATTCAACAGCTTTATATATAATATTTATCTTATTTTCAACGGCACGCGTCTGTATCCTGTATATTTGGGCACGTTGATATTTTCACATTAAATGGTGTGTCATTGCAAAGCCTTTTTTTGGATTTTTATTTGAGAACGTTTATTCAGGATTTATACTCCCATTTCTGTTATAAAATCTTGTAAGCAGTGTGCAAGCCCATATCAAATGCTCTGAAATCCGGCTGACTCAGCAGTTAAAAATTATGTCCTGCGGTGCGAGCAGAGCGCCCAACAATTGTTTATTCCTCTCCAGTTTGTTTTGCCCAGGCCAAACCAAACTTTCGGATCCATGTTGTCCACTAAATTAAGCATTGCGTTCTCAGTGTCGCCCCGTTCGCTCTCCATGGGCGCAGGAACATTTGCATGTCCTGTCACAGGCAGAACTCAAAACATCAAACTCATCAGGAGCGACACCAACAGCTCTGCAGGTGAGTCGGGCGGGGAGCGCCGCCCCGTCAAGTGCCCTACTGGGAGCAGAGTTCTATGGCCGGAGGCGAGTGCCCACACATCATTGTTATAGGTGCATCTACCCTGACGCCATTACACACGGCACACTGGTTTGAGTACACTAACAAAATGGCTCAAAAATCGTAATTACCCACATGTAAACACGAAGCTTATTTTATTTTATTTCAGGGACAAGGAAAAAATGATTAATTAATTATATAATTAATTAAAAGGTTTCGAGCCAATTGATTGATTAATTGATTTATCAGTTATTGATTTCAAGTCTTTTACAATTAATGAAACTCAACACTTTTGTGTGTAACAACTAATTGTGTAAACAACATTTTGAAAGTCAAATAAAAAGTATCAATATAGGCTGTGTGATTTCAAAGCTTAAAAGACAGTTTTACCATTGGCTAGGGATAAGAAGCCAACGCTTTACCGACATTTCCCTCTTCACCCAGCTTTGGGACCACTGTGCGCCGACAGACTCACCTGTGTAGTCCGGCGATACATGCTGGCGCTGCAGGTCATCCAGGGGACGAGCACTGGCCGCACTGGCGTACATGTTCGCGTTGAAGGGCTCATGGTACAGACTGTTCTTGTCAATGGACGACTCGTTGTCATCCATTGTTGCGACCACCTGGGGGAAAAAATGGCAGCAGATAGTGAAAAAACGCAGGGGTTGCTTCGGGGCACTTTTTTGCATTCCGCAGTCTGGTTACTACAGCTTTTAATCATGATTTCTGGAATATGGTCGGCGTTAGGGCTTTTGTGCGTTGGCAACATTCTGCGCGATCTTTTTTGCTTCTGTTGGCCCAGATGATGCTTGACATGCATCCTAAATGGTTCAAGGATCCACCACCCACACACCAATGCCCCGGCGGCAGCCAGGGTTGTTATGCACTTTACATGTTTCGCAGCCCAGTGGGTTAGGCGGAATGCATTAATGGTCTGGGCTAGGCTCTTACCTTCAGGACACCGTTGCTGGAGAGGGTTTCCGGATTGAAATTGTGCTGAAATCCTTCCAACACGTGCTCCCTCCCGCGGGAGTGTTTGTTGCGATCCACTATCAGCAGTACGAACGCGACAAGCAGTATTATAATTGTGGCCAGCACTGTGACTACGACGCCAACGAAACTCGTCTCCGGTTCCAGGTGGTCCATGGGTTTAGGCGAAATAACTAAAGGCGGGGCCACGAGAAAAAAGGGAACACGTTTTTTTAAAACTACTAAATGGTAAGCGTACACAAATTGTATAGTGACTTTAGAACTTAGATACAAAATGCTCTTTAAAACATATTAGTATTATATATAAGTATTATATAATCAGAATCCGAACAACATTAAATTGGCCGACTACTATTCCCACTAAAGCTTTTTGAATAACATCAGCACAATTTTAATTGTCATTAATAACTTAAGAAATGCTGGGAATAAGCAAGTTCCATCACCTGGTATAAGAACTGTAAGAACCATTTTAAAACAGTCAACAATTATCCCTAATGTAAAAAATGTATGCAATTAGTTTACTTTCCTACCTTGGCCTTCTTGTACCGATATCTTAATATGTGACCTTTAATCTTTGTTCTAAGTTAATATAAAAAGAAAAACAACATATGTTTATCACAAACATAACTAAGTTTTAAAAAAGGCATTCAATTTTTTAGTTCAAATTTGGTATATTTGTTGTAAATTATTTTTGATCTTCTGTATTTTAATTTATTTCATATTAACAAACATGTGGGTATAAAAATATCTTAATCGACTGAAGTTTCTTACTGCAAGCAAGATAGCTTCATTTCTTCTTAAATTTTATTTTTCCGTTTTGATACCTGATTTACATTTTTGACTGTCGAATTTTCATATGAAGTACGCAAATTTCGCTGGTTAAACATACCTTGCGTCGTGTGCTGGCTTCTTTCGCCTCCGCTGCTAACCGCCCTACCGACTTCATCGCGCTGCAGCGGATACTCAGACGTGTCCGGCTTTCTGCTGCCAAGGGGCGGAAACTCATCCAGAAGCTCATTTTCTGTGAAATTGCCAAACACAGGAACTGCAAATAAAAAGTAATAATTAATTTTTAAGAATGCATAAAAAATAAGTGTCGTTAGAAGTCTGCCCATGTTTTCCAAAATCCTTTCCAAAGGACACTATCAACCGAACATACACATTTGCCCTTATGCGGGCATTAAAGTGGATCAAGGAATTGGTAAGCGGTCTTTATTTAATAAATTGTTAATATGTTCTATGCAACTAAATTAGTTGTAGAACAAACTTTTCTTATGTCAATTTCATAAATGCATTGCGAAGCTTGATTCTTTTATATTTTCGACTCCTTTTTCTTAGGGTGGTTATAGGTTCCTCAGACGTCTGAGTTGCTCGGGGTACAAAGACGATTGGAAAAAGAGGAAGGAAAACAGGGAGATACCCTCGCAAGGAAATACAAACATGCGACTTAGTACTGTACACACTGTAACAAGGAGACGCTAAATAAATTGTAAACCTTCTCCACAGGTTATCCCTATTTCTGTGTGAAAAGTTTTTGAAAGCCTTGTGGCTCAGAATAGGGCGTGGCAGCTGTCCGCCTTGATAAACTGCCTCGACTAATGGGTCCTGTGGGCAATTAGGGGGAAGGTGGCAGCTGGGAAAACGGGGCAACGAAGAGCGATTATTATGAGGAAAAATGGCATATCTGGTCGCAGACGGAGAGTGACGAGTTGCGGAAAATCGGCAAGGGGCAGAGGGGCGGCGAAGGAGATCGCGATGAGTGTCAATTAGTGCTGCATGCTTCTGCGTGCAACTTCACTTGGAGGCGTTGGAGCGTGTGTCGGCGATTGTTTGCCCCCGCCTCACCATCGGCGTTGATATTATGCTTTCGACGCAGCAAAAACCCTGCAAACACGGCGTTCGAAACTCAGACAGTCGTCAATAACGAAGAGCGACAACAACATCGACCAGACTGATGCCGGAAAAGTTTACCCAAGGGACTGTTGACTTTTCTTTCTCTATATCCTTTTTTAATTCGTCCAGTTGCATTTCCGCCCGAAGCGTTTGTTGAACCCTTTTTACTCGATATTTAAAAACAAAACGAAAAACGTTGTTTACCATTTGAAAAAGCAAAAACTCTGGGTACGCTAATTTATACAGCTTTCCGGCAAAGATTTTTTCCTTTTGTTTTCGGGTTCGCTTCTGCCCTCTTCAACTACTACCATTTTTTATTTTCCTCAATAACAAAGTTTTTTATACTTTTCTGGGTTTGATTTTCATATGCAAATAAAGCCGATGAACATTTGAGTTTTCAAGCTTATGATAAAGGGGTCTAAGGCGAAACAAAGTGTCTCGGAAAATCCTGTTGCGTTAACTAAAACTAAATTTCTGCCACGTATGTTTACAGAATCCATCCATAAAATATACATTTAATTTTAATGTAAAGGAAGCCATACATTAGATATAAGGTCAAATGTTTATTAGAAGCTTGCGACACAGTGAATAAGACGTAGCTCTTGTTAATTTTGTAAGGCTTTTTTTTTATAGGGGTGTACATTTGCAAATTTTTCCAATGTGAAAAACAACTTTAAGACTTCTCGCTACACAAAACGATTTTCAATTAGACAGAATAAGGAGTGGCAAGTCCACAAGGACTTGAAATGAGTTTGAATGCGAGCAGCGAGTGAATGGCTGACTGAATGACTGAGCATCCTGCGTCAAAACTGAGGAGCGCAGCAAATGGAGCATCGTATGCTGGTTGAAGGTATAGCGAAAGACAATGCAAGTGCTCTATAGTGCATATGTGCATATATTGCGGTGCTATTGATTTAAAAGACAAGAGAGATGCAGAGCTTAATGTCGCTATCGTAATAAAAAAACAAGAAAGGAAGCTAGCTTCGGCAAGCCGAAGCTTATATACCCTTGCAGTCATAAAATATGTCGAACAAAATGCATAAAGGCTAAACAACATCGAACCTAAGACGATTTTTCTATTAATTTTCCATATTTTCGACTATACAATAGATCATATGGGAGCTATATGATATAATTGTCCGATTTTGATCAAATTTAACTCGTAATTCAAGAGTCGTAAGAAAAGTATATATCCCTCAATTTAAACTTGTCTGATGAAAAACAACGATGTTATAATTTTATATCCGTTATTTCTATATATAATTTTTGATCTCTCCTATGGCAGCTATATGATAGAGTTATCCGATTTTGATCAAATTTAATCCGAAATTCAAAAACAGTTAGAAAACGCCATCTTGAAGAATTAAAGTCGATCTGATGAAAAACAACGGCGTGAGAATTTTTCATTTCATTCCCTCGTATGGGAGCTATCCGATATAGTCGGCCGATCCGGCTCGTTCCGACTTATATACTGCGTGCAATAACTACACACCTTTTGGGAAAGTTTCAGCAAGATAGTTTTAAAACTGAGAGACTAGTTTGAAGAGAAACAGACAGACGGACAGACGGCCAGACGGACAGACGGACAGACGTACAGACGTACAGACGTATTCTGATTCTACTCGTGATGCTGATCAAGAATATATATACTTTATGGGGTCTGAGGTGTCTCCTTCACTGCGTTGCAAACTTCTGACTGAAATTATAATACCCTTTTGCTCTGCAAGGGTATAAAAAAAATACACAGAACAAAGGTGATTTCAAAATGAGTGAGGCCATAGAGCATTAAAAAAAAGGTACATCGCTTTGCAATATTAACAAAATATGGAATCTGGAGCCGACGAAAGCTTGGAGAGCGTGCTGCCGACGCACAGTGGTCAGTCTTGTATGAAGAAGGCGGCTTGAAATTTGTTTTGTAGGTATATAATAGCGTATGAGTATTATATTTTAAGTATCAGCACCATTAACGCCATATATGTATATCCCCTACCATCGTGTTTACAATCAAATCTTCAAAATTTGACTCCCAAATGCACAATACACTTTTTATAAGCGTCAGTGACAATTATTATATTATTATATTTATTGAACACTTAATTTTGATTTAAATATTAACAAAAGGTAACAAATAACGATGATTAACATACATTCAAAGTTTTATAGAAGGAATATAAAATAAATTTGTTAATACAAATTATAAATGTTTACTCTATCAAATCAAAAACACGAACGAGGCACTGGTCTTCTTTAGCGATTGTGAACGGATTCGCAGATATTGGCAGCTGATTTTTACAAATAATACTTACTAAATATTGATTAATATTCAAAAAAAAATTTCATTGGGGTGCGTGGGTCGCATCAGAACTTTTACCTTTGCAGAATATTGATGTTCAATTCTGCAGAATTTGAAAAATTGTCACATATAGCATGCAAAATTAAAAAAAAATTATAAAAACACAATCTACAAACCTTCAACTTTAATATTCATTTCACTTTCGGATTTTAAACGATTTTTGATATTATTTTTTTAACCATTAACTTAACGATTTCAAAAGTCTTGCGCACGCTTTCAGTTGTTCGCTCCTCGAATATGTGGAGCACAACAAACCTAATAATTGTTATATTGGTAAACAGATGCGCCAAATTTGAAATCAAAATTCCAAAATTTATTTTTGATTGACCACTGTGCGACGCCAGCAGGGATTCGACTCGCCTGGCTGCTCAGCGCTCCTCAATGAGTTGCAAATTGCATATGCACAAAGGGAGGCAACTCATTTAATTTTTACAATATCCCAGAGCTTTGGCTCTGCTCTTAGTTCTGTTGTGCTGCCGGATCCCTTGGCTGCCTGAGTGTAAGTGTGTGAGCTCTTCCGTTTCCTCTGCCTCGTCACAATGCCATTCGACTTGCAGCAGCAGCAAAAGATTTCCCGCTCCCGATTTCCCGCCGCACGCTGCCCCCACAAAGCTGCCAGGCTCATGTCGAGCTGAGTAAAACTGGTCCATACTCACTCGCCCTCGGCTCGTAATTCGTTTTCGTAAAAGAGTAAATCTCTTCTCTGATGAAATGCACAGCGAGTTTAAGTGCTTGCATGCATTTGTTAAGGTTCAAGGCTGTTTTACAGTTTTGCAGCTGTTCATGCTTGAAGAGTTTCCTGTGGTAAAGTTTTACAACAAAAATACTAGATTGCGTATTAAAAGAACAACAGATTTCTAATTTTAAATTAAAGGATTTTTTATAAAAACCCTTACTATAAAAGAGCCTTTAATGGAAATTGAGGAACAAGCTGTTTGTCGGGTCATCCAGCCGCAGCAGATACACTGCCGCTCAACTGAATAGGTTCATGATCTCAGAGGTAGTAATTTGTCTATAGTTCCTAAACCAGTGTACCGATTTCGATAATTTTTTATTTATTTAGTTCTTGAATCATATTATAATAAAATGCTGACGAATGTTTTCAAAAACATATGATTTATTCCTTATTTATTTTTTCTTCTGAAAGGTTAACAAAATTCATGATTTTTTTCGGTCACCTGAACAGGTTTGACCTAAAACAATTAAAATTATTTAAGTAACTTTAAGGATAAATTTCTTATTTTTTTAACTTAGCTGATACTTATGAAAATTTTTAAAGTACATTTTACTAATTTTAATAAAAAGTGAACCCTTCGTTGTCCGATACAACTTCAAATACACGATCGGGAAGCGAGCCATATAAATTGTGCAGTATTTGCAGTGAAATTGTTGTCCAGGCTGTTTTAATGGCCTCAACTGAAGTTGTTTTGCAAAGAAATTACCTGTCTCCTTCATATATCTTGCGCGATAGCAACCCCCATACGTTTTCGATTATATTACGGTCAGGTGAACATGGGGGCCATTCAAGTAAGTCCACATTTTGAGCCTTAATCCACTCTTTTACCACCCTAGCTGTATGATGGAGTCGTAGGCCTTAGAAATACATTAGATTTAGTATTGTATACTAGATTTAATTTTGTTAAATTAAATTAAATTAATCAGGAAACGAAGCCTTTAAGATTTGTAGGTTTCCGCGTTCGTTTTGGAAGTAACAAATTAAAGGTCGCAGGGGCCAAAGACTGACCTGCAGTGTTGCCGTTTTAGGGTTTTTCCCCCAGATTTGGGGTTTTTGTATTGGG